ATCATGCCAAGCCGTAGAAAAATACGTGCTGCTGCTATAGTAGTCTTATTTAGTAGTTAAAAAGAAACGTTTATACGTGGTAGTGCTATGCTGCAGTTATATTAGTAGTATAGTTATAGCATGAATGGGTCGGCTCGGCTCGACCGGGGAAGGACCACTCTCTCACAGAATACCAACGTAAAATAGTATGTACAACGTAATGTAGAGAACTGGAGACCCTTTTTACTGGAAACGGGCCATTCTATCTATCTTAGTCCTGACAACGCATCTGCATTTTTATTCGTAATCGAAGATAGATAGATGTAGATGTCTATGGGCGCCACAAATGGCCGTCACCCCCGGAGCCCCCCCGAGAAAAACCCCCCCCCCCAACTCAGTTCCATATATCACTGGCAACACGCACTGGTTGTACAATTTCGTTTTCAGGTTTTGAGGTATACCTGACGAGAAGATGTAACGTAATTTCCCGAACGCTGCCCAGCCGAGTTGAATCCGTCGATTGACCTCTCGGTCGAAGTTGGACTTACCTAGTCGGACTATTTGTCCCAGGTAAACGTACTCGTCAACAACTTCGAGCATAGTGCTCCCAACAACTACCGGCATAGGTGTGACATGGACATTAAACATGATCTTTGTTTTGTACATGTTCATCTTAAGACCTATCCGTTGGGAGGCACTATTGAGGTCATTGAGTATAGTGCTTAGGTCCTCCAGCGATTCTGCCATAAGGACTATATCGTCGGCAAATCGAAGGTGAGTGATGTACTCGCCATTGATGTTAATACCGTATCCTTTCCAGTCCAGTAGCTTGAAAACGTCTTCCAATGCAGCGGTGAAGAGTTTCGGGGATATAACGTCACCCTGTCTTACACCTCTCTGCAGTTGGTTAGGTTTCGTACTCTGGTTCTGTACTCGGATAGCCATCGTAGCCCTACTGTACAAACACTTCAGCACTCCGATATACCGACAGTCAACTTGGCACCGCTAAAGAGACTGTATCACCGCCCAAATTTCGACGTAATCAAAGGCTTTCTCATAGTCCACATACGCCAGGCAAAGTGGCAGATTGTACTCTTCAGACTTCTGTACAATTTGCCGAAGGGTATGTATGTGGTCTATGGTGCTAAAGGCTATTCGGAAACCGGCTTGTTCGGGAGGCTGGAAGTCGTCGAGTCTGCGTGCGAGACGATTCGTAATGACTCAGGAAAACAGCACGTAGACGCGGCTCAGAAGGGATAGTCTGTAGTTCATCAAGAGAGAATTGTCACCTTTCTTGAAGAACAAGACCACCGCACTTCTGCTCCACGCCTCGGGAGTAGTGCCACCATGGAGGACGGAATAAAAGAGCTTCTGAAGGACATTTAAGTACCGGTGTTCCACCCGCTTTCAGAAGCTCCGCTGCAACTCCATCCTCGCCCGGGGACTTGTCGTTTTTAAGGTGCTGGAGAGCCATTCTAATCTCACTCAGACTGACGTCCGAGATGTCATCGGAATAATGTCGGATAAGACTTGCTCTTGGATCGTTACTCACACTTGCGTGTGGCTCCAACGATGATGTGTACAGCTGCCCATAGAACCTCTCAATCTCACCCAAAATCTCAGGTGTCCCAGAAACGATGCCGCCACACTTAGTCTTCAGCTTTGACAGTTGGCTCTTTCCGGCAGACAGATCTCTGGCAAAGACTTTGGAGCCCTGCTTCCGCTCAATCGCTTCTTCAATACGAGCAGTATTGAAGTTGCGCAAGTCTCGCCGCATGCATTTGGAGATCTGTCTGTTCAGTTGCCTGTATGCTGTCAAACCTGTTGACGACTGCAGCTTCACCTTCCGTCTAACATCCATGAGATTAAGAGTGTGATCGGAGAGTTTATGTGTTCTTCTGCGGCGGGTCTTATAGAACTTAGCTCCGACCGCATCGACAGTTTCCACGAGTTTGTCATTCATATCGTCGACTGTATTGCAGTCATCTAGGCACTGAAAGCGGTTTTGTAACTCGAGGTGAAAAGTTTCGGGATTCTGGATCAGAGCACGAGGGGGACGGAGCGTTGACTTCATTAGACGAGACCTCTCCAACTTAACGTTTAGGTTCAGTGTGCCTCTAACCATTCGGTGATCGCTGCCAGTTTTTACCCTTGCGATCACTGAGACATCACTGAACAGTTGGCGTGTGGATGTCATAATGAAGTCAATCTCATTTTTTGTCGAACTGTCGGGGCTCGACCAGGTCCACTTCCTGTGGGGCCGCTTCTGGAAGAAAGAGTTGATCATAAAGAGTCCCTCTTTCTCCATAAAGTTGGCCAGCTGCTGGCCCCTACGGTTCCGTTGCCCTACTCCGAATTTCCCTAACTTCAGCCACCGCTTTCTCTTGTGCCTATTTTTGCGTTAGTCTCCCTTCAACACCGTATAGTGGGTTTTGGAGGAATGCATGGCTTTAGAGATATCCTCATACATTTTCTCCACCTCCTCATCGGGATGTGCCGAGGTTGGTGCGTAAACCTGTATGAACTTCAGCGAATACCGTTTGGTGATTCTGAGTATCAGGTACGCAACCCTCGTCGACACACTCTCAAACTTTACAACGTTGTTGACAAGAGACTTGTGAACGATAAATCCGACACCTCCTTGGGACAGATCGGGTGATAGAACAAGTTGCCGGACTTGAGGATTACCGTTTCCTCCCCCTCTCTTCGGACCTCGGATAATCCTATAATATGCCAGCGCAACTTGTCTACCTCTTCCTCCAGCTCCAGTATCTTCTCGTCAGTCCTCAGGATGCGTGCGTTATATGTTGCCAGGTCGAGTCGTCGTAGGTGGTAACCGAACCTCCACCGGAGATTCTTAGCACCCCCTGCCCCGCCGTTACCATGGTCGCCAACGTAGCCAGGAATAGCGGGGCCGCCGGGGACTGGGGGCCGTTTATTCGTGTCGTTGCTCATGGGGGGATGTTTGCCATAGTTGCCACGCTTGGCGAGCGGGTTGGCAACTGCAGTTTTTTATTGTGTAATTGTTGTTATCAGGAAGATGCTGCTGCCCATCTCCTGCCTGTCTCCCTCTATCGCTTCTTATGACACCCACGGGAAGACATGGGGTAGTGGATATTCTCAACCGCCACTACACGGCAAGACCTATCTTATAAAAAAAACGGAATAATAGAAAGTGGGTTTAAGAATTGGATATTGAGAAGAGATGATGTTGGTATCCACGATCATCTTTTAAAAGAAGTCAGGTGCGAAGAACCTATGCAGTTTAAAATTTTCATTCTGATGACATTTTTAACTGCATAAACATTTCTTGTCCCATAATTCTCTGAGTTGTTCACAGTATAGTATTATCCAAGCTTAGCCGCAGAGTGTTATCCAAACTTTTTTACCTGACATCTTGCTTAGCAACTTTAAACTTTTATTTGCAAGCAAAATAAACCGCAAGTTACTGCCAGAAGTTTCAAAAGCTACTTGCGGCAAGTCCTGCAAGTTACAAAACTTGCGTAAGTGAGCTTGACGTGATTGTTTACGCGGTAGGAATAGCTTGCAGAAGTCAACTTCTACAAGTTTTGTTGTTAATCTATAAACCTCGCTATACATTTAGTATGTATTTTTTATATTTGACATAGTTACCTTTTAAAATATTTAGATAAAAATATCATTAAAATGTAATTGTGATATAATATTATGTAATTTTATGCTAAATAAGCAAATATAATATACAAAATAAATGTCAAAATTTAAAAATTGTACTCGATATAATTTACCTATTTAACAATACAATCTATTATTACCTACTGATCATTCTACCTACGTTTAGTCTATGATAAAAAACCAACTGCGCGAACACAGAGGTAGCGCACATTTTTTGTTTGAAATAGCTGTTCTAGTAAGTAAGTACATATTACTTCAATGTATACGGCTACTCATATTATCGTATAAGTGCAATAAGATTATGATAGTGCCATTTTAAGAACACAAAATTGCTTGACATTGACGTGTCGTGAGTAAATTACTACTTAATAACGTTTCGCGTTATGCAATGAGCGGACTAAAACGTTAATTATAAGATGTGACAGCATAATATAACATTTTGAAGACTGGCGCCGCTCCTAAGGCTCTTCTTTTGATAGAAAGACTCTTCTTAAACCATAGTTAAAACCAGAGACCACGTTCAACCAATAAATCGCGTTTCGTAATGAGCCGTAAAAAGTTAAAATACTGCCTGTATACGTCACACTGATATGCATAATATTAATCCTCTCATTTTTGAGAGGGTTTTAGCGCAATTAACTGACTACCTCGTTGCCCCAATTTGTGTTGGCAGACTTCACACAGCTCGGAAATATTTTTTTTTTATCTTCCAGACATGTAGGTTTGTCACGATGTTTTCCTTCACTGCCGAGCACGTGGCAAATCAGCACTTAAAATTGCAATTAACCATTTCATTTGTGATAGTGGGGATCGTACCCATGTTTCTCACGTACTGTAAAATTTATAGCGAGCGCTTAGCCTCTAAGCTACCAAGGATAAGACGTAAAACATCCCATTAATTCTTTCCATATCAATTGAAAAGGCTATAAACAACATTTAACCAGTATGTCGTTCACTTGTGTAATTAACTTCCCAGTGGGAAGTTATTATAATGGGTCCGATTTTGCATATTGGAAAATTTTACATATCTCTACGTTTCAATGTCTTTAAGAGTCGAATAGGTTTTTAAGAGGACGTCCGTGTGTGCACATGTACGTATGTTCGGATTCAATTTTCGCCTCGTGTATTTTGAGAACAGAGCGTGATATTGACATGGGATTAGTTTCATTTGACGCATAATTATGTAACTTAGACCTTATTAAATTTCGAGAAAAATCGGTCAAGTCGTTTTTTGTGCCGAATGGAAAATTGTATAAAATATTAAAACTTCTTACCACTGGGAAGTTAGTTGTGTAGACCTTTCGGGTCGCACCTAGACCGCTTTTATTTTACTTTTGTTATTATATTTTTTACTCTTTGACTTACAGGCAACCCCATTAACCATTTGCGAAGAATTTGCCAACGTGCTGGAAACATGTCCTGTGCCTAGAGTATACATGGAACTATTTGCGGTTCTTTGCATAGAGACTAGTCACTATGTAGCTTTTGTTAAAACGGGAGTAGCTCATGATGCTCCGTGGTGTTTCTTCGATTCAATGGCTGATAGAAAAGGTTAGTCTGATTATTATTACTTTTTCTTTTTTTAAAAAGACATTGACACATTTGACTGTTTTTAACTTCCCGTTAAGAAAATTGAAAATTTTCAAAAATCGAGAAGTTATTGTTTTTATCCAGTTTTTCGAAATTGAGTTTCATCAAATCTTGACGTTTTGAGGTCACAGGAAGCCACCCTGACAATTTTTCGATGGTGTCTGTATGTATGTGGATTTATGTGAACCTCTTATAACTTATAAACAGCTTGACCGATTGAAATGAACTAAGCGGATTTCCAGTGTTTTATCAAACTTAGATTTCCTATGAATTTTAACTAATTCGGACCTACCGGTCCGAATTAGTTTTGAAATTGGATTATGAATGATTTCAAAAATAAAAAATTTGTAAAACTGTTTTTAGGAATAATTTTTAAACGGCTTTACCGATCGATTCCAAAAACTAATCAGCTTTTAACCTTGAAAAACCACCTCGATCGCCGCCGGTCAAAATCGGCTGATTCGTTCGTGAGTTATTGTTAACGAAAAATTTTGAAAAACATGATTTTTTTTAATTACTCCGACATTATATATCCGTCATATAAATTATGAAGTTAAATATGAATATTCAACGACTTAATTTGGTGAAAATTAGAGCGCTTTGCATTTGAAATTAGCGGGAAGTTCCAAGGAAGGCCTTCAGGGTCAACCAATATTTTCTCAGTTATTATTAATTAGGCTTTTTGACATGTTAAGTTTCACTCTTTAATATCCAACTCAACTCACTTGTGTCCCTTACATATAATGGTTACTTTGTTGAGAAAGTTATATAGAAATAGCATATCATCAGTCACAATATTTAGGGAAATTAATATTTTAGAGCATCATGTCGACCATTCGTAACCTCTCTTAATCTACCGCTATTCCTTTGCTTCTGTTATTATATCTTTCGAGTTATATATTCCCCTTCAAATCTACATGCAAATGATGATTGTACCCCAATGGTGTATATTGATGATAGATTTATACCTAGTTTTAAAAGCTATCATGAAGGTACAATAAATCTCGGCATGGATATAGAGTCGATAACCCGAATTTTGATAACTCTGCTACCTCACCAATCTATTTAATTTGAATTAAGTTTTGCATTTTTGAATAGATTTTCTGTCATCAATCGTTTCCCAGAGCTTCTTTCACTAGTCAGCAGGGTACAATGTTTATGGGTAAGGTTTTTATACTATTCTATGCCAGTGCTGGACTACTGTTCCATCTGATGGTAATTGGTTATGTAACTGAAGATGGTAAAGCGCACTGACTTAACTTTACAACAGCTTATTCACTCTTGTTTGTTCTAGGTGGACATTTTGAATAGAATATTTTTTATGATGCTTTTTCTTAATTACTTTTTTTATAGATAGATTTTAGTACTGCTTTTCTGTATTATGTTCGTTGGTTTTTACCTCTAGAGGTAAAAATATAGTATTTATATATTACAATGCGGTTTTTTGGTCTTACTTGTAGTCAAGGTGTACATGCACATTGTTTAAATTTGAAAGCAAAGAGATTTAAATATATATACTATAAAGGGGATATTGGGAACATTTGCATACAAAAAACTGAGCTCGCACGTGTTACGACTTTTAGCGAAACATAGCAATACTACGCTGTATATTTATAATGAAACATTTTAGCTATTCCCCATTAGGTGACGCTCTAAATATAAGGTAAAAATCCGTTTTAGGCATGTCGTCAATCCTTAACACATTGATAAATAAATAGTGACGTTACTGGCCAACAGAGGGCGCTTATTACAATAATAATAATTGTTTTAGAACAATCTACTAGAAATAATAAAATTTAAAGATTATTCCGGTAAATATACATTATTCTTACAATGTGTGCACTTTAGTCCAACTTGAGAGATAGGATAGTTTTTTCCCATGAGTGACCCACAATTTTTTTTTTGAGAATTTAAGGATTTTAATAGGACATGAAAAAGGGTCCTCGAAAAGGGCAGAACAACGTCTGTCTGGCAAGCTAGTTATATATAAAACCATTTAATTAGGTTACGTTCATACTGCCGAAGTTAGAACACATTATTCTATGGTTAAACATTTACACATAGTAGAGATTATAGCCAAAAAATTTGAAAAGTTGAAAATAATAAATCTGAATTTTTCAATTTTTGCGAACTGTATTTCAAGGCAAAAAAGTTTTTAATATTTTGTATATTAGATACCTGTGTATTGTTCAGTTGGAAGATAATAACTTTAAGAGAATACAGCTTGCTTAATATAAAAACTTCAAAATGTAACGAATTACGATGTAATTTCGAGCACTTGGCCGTAACTATGTATGTAACATAGAATGATATGAGTTGGCACGCAGGCGAGCGCAACGGGTACAACATCCCGGAGATCGTGTGCCTCCCGGAGCTGGGCGCGTGGCTGTGCGAGGAGGCGGGCCGCGAGCGCGCGCCGCCCGCGCACGCCCGCCGCCTGCTCGCCGACGCCTACATGTGCTTCTACCGCAGCCCCGACGTCGCCATGTACCGCTAGACTTCGCACGAACACAAACCTCTCATCGATTTCATACCACTATGAGCCATTTCCTACTTAAGGCCAGCTTGGACTAAATATCGTATTTTAGACAACATTTTGACGCTCGAGAATTGACACTTCTTGAAAATAAATTGTTAATCAAATGTATTTTTAAACTACAATATATTAATCAAGATAAAAAAGTATTATTTAATCGCCAGAAAATTGCTTTAACATACGAAGATTCGTTTTTTTGTTCAGCGATAACCATATAATATTTTTTGATAGTATGAAAGCCATTTTAATGAATTAGATTCTTTATCTGCTATATTTTGTTGAAATTATCTAATAAAAAGCAAAAACGTTTCAAATAAAGTAACTTTTGGTCCACCGAATATCGCAGGCACAACTACTACCACTACTTCATTGCTGTACAAATATGCATGCAGTGGAGAATTAAGCGCTAAAAGCTTTTTAATATCAAAATCCTCTCCTTAATATGTCGTCGCAAATTATAGTTATAGCAAATGAAAATGACGTTATAAACAAAAATATTTAATAATGATTGATTAAACAATATTAAAAATGTAGTCTATTTTTATTTTCCAATCTAATGAGATTTTTTATAACTTATTTATCTAAAACTACCTACATATTCCATCTATATACATTAAATCAAAGTTAATCTACTTTAAGAGCGATTATGGTTTTGTTATCTGATGCTGCTGGAACTAAATATAATCTTAGGTTACCAAATGGACAGACAAATGATACTAAACATCTTTATCTGCAACTAGAATGGATTTTAAAGCTAATGTATTATGACTAAGGATTAGTCCATACCATACAAAGCGTATATTCTGTTTACGTTTTACAATGTGATGATAATAATGAATAACGATAAAACTCGTAATTAGTAAAAACAAAAACTTTAACTTTAACATAACTGTGGAATGTCAAGTGACAACAATGAGTGCAAAGTGTAAACCGCCATAGTTACACTGTATTCTTCCTTAATAGATATTTGGTTGAGAATTTTTAAATTTATAATAGGAACATGTTCAAAAACAATTTAAATTTACACTGTGTAACAATAATACTTACGGTAAAAATCTTTTTCAGTTAGTTTTTTTTTTTGTTGATATAGTTTTACGGTACAATGGGGTTAACATTCCTGGAGAAAATTTTCAACATATCAAAGATAAGTGGAAATATAGTAATATGGCCTCGTAGCAAACTTCTGTAAAGTTTTTTTAAAATATTATGTGCTTAATTCTAACAACTTGAGACAGTTCAAGTAAAGAATACATACTGAGCTTCTGTTTCACCAAGCCTCATGCCCATTTCATGTTCTGAAACAAATGTAATGTAATTTTAGTACACAACATATTATTCTCTCAATATCGGTATTTACACATGTAATGGTTATTAGCAAATAAAACGAATTTAAAAAGTAGTTTCATTCTCGATTCGAGTGAATGATGGATTTATGTATTTTTTTATTATGATTTAATCAATTTTATTTAATGGAAAACAATTTCAATAATTAAAAAGACCCCATAATATGTTAAATACTAGACAATGATAAATACTAAATAATTTTAAATAGTAGAGCTAAAATATTCCTATTTTAGCTCCGTTTTTTCTACTATAGGTTTTTCTTTCTCAATAATGTACTTGTATGGTTGTATAATGAATTATTTCTTATTTTTATGCGAATTTGTAATTAAATTATTATTTTTAATTATTAAAATGTCTAGTGAGCGCGTAAAAGCAAAACTAGTAATAAAACTAGTCATGGGTGCTGTAAAGGGGGGACTGAGGTGTTCGACATCCCAATATCATAGTTAACCACGACTACCTCCAGATTAAAATGAATAATTTTTGTTTATCTACCACAGTATGAACTTATAGTATCTTGAAGTCTTGCAGTTGATGCTTGGGTTGGGATTTAATTGTATTAATTATAGGATCACAAGCAGATATAAGCGCCCAGCCATCTTCTCTATTGAAATTAGGATGTTTTTTGATTTCAATAGTCTCTCAAATCATCCGTAGAAGTAATCGGTGTTCCTTAGCGAGGATTTGTGGTCTATCAAATTTGACTTAGTGACAGTATCTGTCCTGTACGTGTTCCTAGACTGCAGACTTCCTGGAGTGATGATTTTTCACATCAGCTATTTATTAACATTTTAGCATTTTCCTGATATCAACGCAAAATATTAAAAAACAGGATACCGCCGACAAGAATGACAACTATACAAATAATTATCCTTATAAGGCAATTTATAGTGAGGCTTATGTTCAACAGTGAAACTGTTTAGTCTATAAAAAAGATGATCATTTTTTTTTTAAAAAAAACTCCAGAATTTCTTGTCGGATTTTCTCTGAGGTCTTGTTTTTTGTAGCAGTAAATTTTGAGGTCCATAAAAGCTTTTTAGGAAAGACCAGAAAATATTCATGTTCGTCGATAGATTGCAGTGTAAAATTTCGGATAAGCTATTTCCTTTTTATAAATATGAAGTGAAGAACGAACTAACAGAACAACTGATGTTTTTGTAATACTGCAGTCCATGGTCACTTGCGGCCACTTAAACAAAGGAGTACAATTGTGTTGTCACGTCTGAGAATTGAGATGGAATACCTCACAACCTGTAATTATACTAGATTTCTTATAAGAAGTTGGTACCTACCTTGAGTCTCTTAGGCAGAAAAGAGGTTCTACCGTCTAGAGAAGTAAATTGATGTAAAATATCTAGAACTGAAAACGGAGAAAACAGCACCAAATATGTGATATGTTGCCACATAATAGTATGGCATTCATTTTCAGTGGTAAAATAATATAAATTCGCTGCTGGCCATATAGAGAAGCTAAAGATCTCTCAATTAGCTATGGAAAGAGATGTGCGCGGAGTTTCTCTGCGTAATAGAATTCGCAATGAAGATATGCGCAGTAAACCCGCAATAGTAACTACCGACATAGCTCAACGGATCAGTAAGCTGAAGTGGCAATGTGCAGGTCATTTAGCCCCAAAACTGATAACTGATAAATAAAAACGGTTTGTAGACAGCCTCGTTATGCTAAGCGATATGTCGTGTGTCCCCATCCCCCATGCAGGATATCGATGGATGCAGATAGATGCCTTAGGACCAAGTTTTGCGGCGTGCCTGGGGGAGACCTATATTTAGCAGCAGACTTATGAGGAGTCATAATGATGATGATCACATCATTGTATGACAAGAGGGTGAAAGGAAAATAAAGGATCGCATAACTTAACTGGTTATTGCCTGCTTTGGTCAACATAATGTAGTTTCTGCCTCTGATGCCATATTATTATGTCACCACTGATAATGTATAATAGCAATAACTCGTACTATAGTTCATAAAAGATAGCTTGATCTCTGCGACAGCTGTCAGTAAAATCACGCCTATGAAGTCCTGAATTTCTTATAGTAGTACAGACAGTACCTGTCAATGTCATACTTTATGGGCATGCCGACCTATTAGTGCATGCCCATAAAGTATGACATTGACAGGTACTGTCTGTACTACTATAAGAAATTCAGGACTTCATAGGCGTGATTTTACTGACAGCTGTCGCAGAGATCAAGCTATCTTTTATGAACTTTAAATCAATATTTAACGAACTGATTTCGGAACGTAACAAATATCGATGACTGTAAAGCTCTAATACTATTGAGAAAATAATCATTTAAAGGCGCATGCAAATTATTTCCTTTAGTTTCATTTGTTTTAGACACAAACTGCATTTTACAAACGTTATCAATCTATTTATAATTTTTGGAATTATTCAGTGCGGGTGCTGCCACTAGCTCCTGGTGCTTGAGGTAAGTTTTCACTAATTGTTCATCTTCCTGAGTATCAGCTACTATCATTATGCGAGGAAATAAGACGAGCTACTGACTAGCTGTCATCTTGGCTGCTAATTCTTAGTAACTAGATGTAATGCTAATAGTACAAATACCTTTTAAATAATTTTGGAATATTTCTCACAACTCCTCATGAATGTTTTTATTTTTCAATGGACAATTACATTCGAATTTTGGTTGTGGTACATGGGTCATGCTGTCACGTATTGTTACTTTGTTTTCTAATCTTTTACTCCATTCCTGTATGAAAAGAAAACAAACAGCTATATCTATGATATTGTTTTCAAATCGAAAATCACTGACAAATAAATAGAAATATGACGTATAACAATATATACCAGCCAGAATGCTGTTTAATTACGACGCAAAAATCCAAACTTGTATTGGCTGCCATTCGAATATCGAGTTTTAATTGATCGTACAACCACCCTATTTTTCGGATCTTGCTTCAGCATAGCTCAGGGCCAAGAAATTTTAATTGAAGATAAAGGCTAGACGGTAGCTATAGAAATCGTATAAGTACAAGACGACGACGACAATACGACGAAGCCTTGGTAATCGCTAACAAATTTGGTTAGCTTTTAAAAATTTAGTTACGTTAAATCTCTACGATACTGCAATAAATGTTACAACTGGGAAATAAAAGATTTGTTTTCTTTTTTCCCCAACCTTGGTTAAAAACCTCGGTTACACTCTTACAATACGATGGCTGTGCTACAAGATTACGTTTTTTGGACTGTTTTAACCGATTACATAGTGATCAAAGTAGTTCAATTGATGGCGCTAATTTTCCTTGAAAACGTGTTAGGTGAACGTTCAGACGAAAAATTATTTAAACAATATGAATTACATTTTTTTAAAACACTGTCTGGTTTAAATATTTCAGGTTTAAATATTTCATGACATTTAATATCAGAAATCCTAAATAGAATTTAACGTATTGAACTTCAAATAGGCCCGTATTATAAAATAGCAATTTCACAGGTAAGAAAAGAATGTTTCTATTCCAAAGTCCTTATTATGCTAATGCTTGTTTGGAATATGCTCTTAGGGTATTGTCCGCCACACTTATTTCTTGCAACTTGATTCTTGAAAATGGAGAGAATCAGAAATTAAAATCATATGAAAAGCAACAAAAGAACTACAAAATTTGTCAAACTTCTCTGTTATAGCTCTTGGAGGATTCCTGGTCTACTAGTTACTGAAATGCCAAATATTTATTCAATAGTTTAGCCTCTTGTATATCGGAATTGGTAACAATGTATATAATGAAATTTAGTAGTGACACAAAAAACTAGGTCAATACCAATTTTTAGCTCCTTGGTACAAAATTTATATTATAGCTTTACTCGCGACTAGACTATTCTAGACTAACAGACATTGGATAACTTACACTGAATAATTTTGCATGGTAGCATATTATATGTTGCGGCAGCAAGTTTTCTAATGCAAATTTCCGACCATTATCAGCTATAACATGTGCTTCATAGTCGTGTTCTCGTGCCCATTTTATTCTTTTTACTAAGTCGGACAAATCACGAGCAACTGGCACATAATGTTCCCATTTACGAAGATCTCGGTAAAAATGTTCATAATAGGGTGAGTCTTGTTTTAAAACCATTCCACCGCCTGCCAGAAGATAAGGAAACCGATATGCTGCTACTGTTCCATCAAGATTTATTTGATATTTGTACTGCAAATAGACAATATAATTTGAACAACAGAATTTGAAAATAGAATTTGAAAACATAGTTACAGACTTTTAAAAGTCAGCTCCTGAACATAGGCCTCCCACAAGAAATGCCACATATCACGGTCTTGAGACACCTGTATCCATCGACTTCCTGCATGTCTTACCAGGTTGTCACTCCATCTAGTGGGGGCCACCCTACACTTCGCCTACCGGTACGAGGCTGCCACTCGAGAACCTTTCTTCCTCATCGGTTGTCGGTTCTTCGAGCTCACTTTAGCTTACTAATTCGTGGGGCTAGGTCTTTTGCTCTGGTTCTACTGGTTTCTGGTTCGGATATCCTCATTTCTAAGTTTATCACGAAGAAAAACCCCGAGCATAGCCCTCTCCATAGTTCGGTGAGCGACATTGACTTTGCTCAGACGGCCAATAATGAAGGACCACGTCTCAAATCTATAAGTTATTACTGGCAACATGCACTGGTTGTACAATCTTGTTTTCAAGATTTGAGGTATACTTGTACTTGTGGTATCTCCTGAACGCTACCCAGCCGAGTTGAATCCGTCGATTGACCTCTTGGTCCAAGTTGGACTTACCTAGTCGGACTATTTGTCCGACTAGGTAAGTCCTTTGGTAATGTGTTGGTAATAGCCCATGAAAAGAGCAAATATTTAGGTAGTTATGTGCATGGTTATCTTTTTTCCCAGGGGTAATGTTAATATTTATGTCACCGGTTAGGATTATATTTTTATATGTGCTAAATTTGCTTAAGGTGATATCAAGGGACTCTAGAATCTATCAATATTTTGTGAAGGAGGTCTGTAAACTGCGATAACAATCGTCTCGGAATTAATTCGAATGATTAAGCAATTACTATCCTGGAATGTAGGTTCTATGACAGTTACTTTTAAATTATTTTTAACATAGATTACTAAACCGTCATTTTAATTAATGTTTTTCTCGGTTTTGTGTAAAGAATAGTCATTTAGAATCGGTAGGTGGGATGGGAGGTTTGACAGCCAACATTCTGTAAGGATAATAATATCACATTTTATATCCAGTCTATGCAACAAAACTTCAAACCCGGTTATATTCCGATTTATACTTCTAATATTTTGTGTTAGTTACAGCCTATATACGTCCCACTGCTGGGCTCAGGCCTCCCCTCATTTCTGAGAGGGTTTTAGGGCAAGGAAGTGTTCGCCGCGCTGCCCAAATGCGTGTTGACGAACTTCACATGTCTTCGAAATATTTTTTTTCTTATTCCTCAGACATGCAGGTTTCCTCACGATGTTTTCCTTCACCGCCGAGCACGTGGTAAATCAGCACTTAAAATTGCAATTAACAATTTCATTGGTGCCGGCGGGGTTCGAACCCGGGTTACTAGCGTTCTGTTATATTTACAGCGAGCGTTAACCACTGAGCTACCACGGCTCATATTATATTTTGTGTAAGTAAGATTAACTTATTTTCAGGACGTGGAAGGAAGTGTTTACAGTCATCAACATTACATGTTTTGGCGTCAGACACAGAAAAGTTGTCTAGGTCATTGAGTAATTGATTCGCCATACTTAAGCTTAAAGATAAACTAAAACTAGTGTAAGAGCTAAGTAAATAATATAATACGCGGCGCTCTTAGGCGCCCTCATAGTCTATGGAGTTGATATATTTGTCCTCTGCGAATTTACGTGCTGGACAGCTTTCCTCACCAGTTTTGTGGTCGCATTTTCTTTTAAAACGTTTACACGTCGCGCAAACGGGGGCATGCGCTTTGTTATTACATTCCTTAAAGGAATGCCCGAGCTCTCCACAGTAGTTACATGTAGGGCTACTTTCCCGACAAAATTTGGCTGAATGACCAAACTGCTGGCAGTTGAAGCATCTTGTTACTATTGTAAAGTCTCTGACTGGGCATGAGGTCCAATTAATATAAATTCGTCCTTGATTGATAAGGGCCTTCCTGATGCTAGGTGACACTTCGACAATGTAATTACAGGTAGGAAGGTTTTTCTTACCTGATTTATGGCTCAGTTTGACTGTTGCCAGAAAGGACTCACGCGTGGCATTGGGAAATTTATAGGCAATATTTTGTTCGAAAATGCACTCGAACACTTCTTTATCCGTGAGGGCTACAGGGACACCAACAATTGCAATCCTTGGACGTCGTTTAGTCGGTTCTTCCATGGTAAGGCCAGAAGATACAACCTTCTCGGACTTCTTTAATTTGTCGATATCTCTTTTTGTCTCAGCGCTAATTATAACTCCCCCATTTTTGACCTTCCTCATGCCTCGGACATGTAGTTTGAGTTCTTCTGGGGATATTATTTTTTGTAAGAGGCACTTCGTGTCATCACTGGATTTGGACTTGTCCCTCAGATAAATTGCTAGGGTACTAAGGTTGTTTGGGCGAATGAGGGTTTGGCCACCTTTTTTGACCATGTCCGCAAAAGTGGTTCCAGAGTCCGGTTTTGATGACTCTTCGATACTATTCTTGAGTTCCTACAGCTTTTGGGACAGGTCAAGTTGTTTCTGCAGAGATACGATGGAGGTCTGGGCTTTAGTGGCATCCATTTTGAGGGACATGTACTGGACTACCAATTGTGATGTACCGTGGCTTACTTTTCGACAAAGCGAGCTAATGCGCATTTTTTGATCAGAGTTAAGTTTTCCCTCTGTAGCGATGGAGCACACCTCGTTAAGGCATAGGTCAATGCTTGTCATCCAATACTGCAACTCAGGAGTTGGAAGTGTTTTAATTGGTTCGCTTGAAGGGGTGCGAGTGGTCCTGGCACTCGGGTTGAAGGGACTGTTCTCCATTTTAATACCTATTCTAGATAAAGCTAGAACATTTCAACAAAAATCACTAACACAAATATAACTAAAGTATGACACAGTTACTTCCGGTATTGTTATAACGAGGTCACGGCTAAGCACATACTTATTTAATTATTTTAATTACTATATGACACGTCTGTACACAATAATGCGCACTTACGAACTCCCAAATTTCCCATTAATATCATCCACAGCATTGCAGTCTTCTGGGCAAAACTATTTTGTAAATTGAGCTGAAAATTTTCGGGGCTTTAGATAAGAGCACCAGGTAGAGGGAGAGTTGCGGTCTTTAGACATGACATCTCCAACTAAACGTTAAGGTTCCAATGCCCTATCCCGTATTTCCCTACCTTCAACTCATCGTTCTCCCGTATGTGGTATGTGGGTTTTGATGGAGCTTTGCTAAAGGATGTATGGCTCTATAGATAGCCTCATACATTAAAATACATTTAAATAATTATGAAAAAAAAAAATTATAACTAACATCAAAAAACTTGAAGAAGGATATATGTGGTTGCTTTGGACCATACTGAGCTTCTTTGTCGCGATAAAAAAAGAAATTTGTAAGTGAAACATTAAAAAGTTCTGGATAAGCTCGTGCAATATCTATAAGTTTAAGTCTTTCGGCACGAGAGTCCCGCCCACGCCAGAATGCCATCGGTTTGCGATTGTTCCACTTTCGTTCTACATTACCCTGCACTGATAATGTATCAAGAGTAATTCTGAAAAACAAATAAAAAGTGTTCTTATTTAATTATTATGATGTAATGCTACTGAACTTTATACGTAGTTATATAAATCAATATTCAAAAATATTCAGGTACCTTCCCATATTTTCTAAGGCTGATTCTGTTAGGTCATATGTAGGCATTACAATATCAACTGTGTCATTGCTACCACACCAAGAAAACACAGGAAGTGGCTCACTATCTTTATGTACTAAAGGCCAATCACCTAAATTAATAACCAGTTCCATATCTGGTAAAAATACTTTTCTTGCTAATGACAACAGAATATTATCTGCAAACATGTTAAAACCAATGTGTTTTCCATAACAATCGCGGTATATTTTATTTTTTTTAATCACATAGTGGCAAAAACTAGTACTCTCTGGCTTATGATATTTTTGGACAATTTTCTGGATTTGAGTGCTCATGTCTAATTTATTGAATGGTTTTAAGTCATTTATAATATTTTCATAAGAAGAGGAACAGCCATATTTTTTTAACCATAAATTAAAGTCCTCATCAGGACAGTCACATTGATCAGGTTGAATAGGTCCTGAAAATATACATTGATTAAATAGAGATTTTTTTAAATATTATGTTGATTTAACAAAAAGGACATACCTTCAAACATGAAAGGGGAATTTTCAATATGTTTGTTTTTATAATATATGCTGATAGACAGGTTAATACATGTTTCATAAACTTTATAACGTACAATAAATGTACCATCTTTACGATCAAGTGTGTTGACCCAAACACGGCAATAGTTACTTTTAGTAGATCTTCCATTTATTTCAACTGCTAAATTCTTACCTAAGTAGGGTGTGTATCTGAAGTAAATAAAAGAATGATTTAAATCAAAAATATTACTAGCATGAAGGCATAAATTTGACTTCATGTAAATCTACGTCATATAGTTTGATTTCAATAATATGTTGATTTTATTAACAAAAATATAATTTCGTCAGCCCAAGCCAAGAACAGTATGGTGTCTCTTTTATATGGAATAAGGGCGATAAACGAGCACACAGTCCACCTGATACTAAGTGGATGTTGTGGCCCATAGACATCTACATTTATCCTCAATTAACAATCAAAATGCAGATGCGTTGTTACACCTGAGGACTGGGATGGTATGCCTCGTTTCCCGTAAAATAGGTCTGCGGTTCTCTACACTCACCATACAAAACACAGCAGCGTTGAACTGCTATTTCACGCTGGTATTCTGTGAGAGCATGATCCTACTACCCCGGTCGATCCGACCCATTCGTATTACAACCACAATATAGTTGCAGCATGGCTTTACCCCTTAAAAGCCTCAATTCAGAATCATCATTAATTTCTTAGAAACAAGCAAAAATACAAACTATCTATACCTACTAGATTACCAAAATTCCCAAAACCACAGTTTAAAGAGAAAACTTTGTAAATAATGTTTAAATTAGTAACTAGCTATGCCCGCGACTTCGTTCGTATAGAATATTTTTAGTAATTTATTATTATAGCTTCCCATTTGAAACGGATTTTGTTCACAATTTCATGGGTTTTACAATTTTTGCGCGGGGTTCTAATTTAAGAATCAAGATTTGATTTTCTCGCCAGGGTTCCAACTTCAGAGATTTCCTTCCAAAATTAGGAGGTAAATAAGTGGGATGGAATATTTTTAAGGGTTTTAAATTTTTATGGATACTTTTAGAGCCCATTTTATAATTGTAGGCTCTGGGTAATCCAATCTAGCCAACGATATATTAGTTGACGTATATGTATATGTAGTATAATAAATATATAAGGGAAAAGGGAGCCCACTTGCAAGTAAAACTTGTTCTCCTTGGAAAAAGCGCCACCTGCTGATTGTTACGCTACCTATAATGTGCGTAGGTGTGTGTGTCTTTGTATATTCTAATTCACTCAAACGAAAATGCTGTGTGAATGTGTGTATAATATGTATAACGTAAAAAGTACTCAAATAATTTATAAATAAAGAATATTATAAAAAGTAATTGTTTTTAAGGAGGTTTTCAAGTAATAACAATAATGTAACAGTGTTTCTCGTTTGTACGTCTACGAGGGTGGATTGAAAAGTACTCGGCCTAACCAAGAAAATAAACACATACTAAATCAGTTATATTTTTATTTTTCTACATAATCACCATCAAGTTCAATACACTTTGCCACCTCCCCTTCCAAGCATTTAGACCGTTGAAAAAAAAATGATTCTTCCTTAGAGTCAAAATATGCGTCTACAGCTGCTTTGACCTCGTCGTTTGTCGAAAATCTTTGACCTCCCAAGTGCTTTTTTAGGTTAGGGAACAGAAAGAAGTCTGATGGTGCCAGATCAGGTGAATACGGCGGATGCGGTAACAGTTCAAAGCCACAGTTGTGAATTTCAGCCATTGACTGTACTGACGTGTGAACACGGGCGTTATCTTGATGAAACAGGACTTTTCTTCTGAGCATTCCTCGACGTGTTTCTTTTATTTACTCTCGTAAATGACGTAGTAAGGTGCAGTAGTAATCAGAGTTTATAGTCTGACCCCTTTCAAGATAATCAATCATAATCACACCTTTCGAGTCCCAGAATACTGAAGCCATCACCTTATTTGCCGACAAAATCGACTTAGCCTTTTTAGGGGGTGGTGAACCAGGTCTTCTCCACTGTTTTGATTGTTGTTTTGTTTCCCGTGTACAGTAATGAACCCATGTTTCGTCCATAGTAACAAAACGATTCAAAAAATCATCTGCATCGGCTTCAAATAACTCCAAACAGTCGCGTGAAATAGTCAATCGCGTCCTTTTTTGTTCAACTGAAAACAGTCGCGGAACCCACCTCGCAGACACCTTGTGGAAACCCAACTCGTTGACAATGATGTTTTTAGTTCGTTCATAAGAGATGCCTATAATCTCGGCTATCTCTCTAATTTTTAATCTACGGTCTCCCATTATTAAATCAAGTACTTTTTTAATATTTTCGTCAGTAGTTGACGTCGAAGGCCTTCCAGAGCGGGGTTCATCTTTCACACTCTCTCTACCACGCTTAAATTCTGCTATCCATTTTTTGACGGATGAATATGACAGAGCACAATCGCCTAATGTACTGACCATGTCATCATGGATGGCTTTTGATGATAGCCCCTTCTTATGGAGGTACTTAATGACGGCACGCTGCTCGATTTGCTCCATTCGCGGAAATTATGTCCGATTACTTTGTTAATAATTTTATAAAATCACAACTAATTATCGCACACGTTTCGAACTTCACACAATGAACTAGTCTGAACTGAACTAAATAATGTGGGTAGATTTGATTTTTAGAATTGAATGGATCTGTGTTAGGCCGAGTACTTTTCAATCCACCCTCGTATTACGGGGGAATTCCCGCCGCTTTTCGCTCCTGATGCAATTTTGTTTTTATTCCGCACTTCTGTTCTCGTTGTCAAAGTGACATAGAAGTAAGTATAGCAATTTAAATTAATATTTTAATGATAAATTATAGATCAATTTTAAGTATTTTGAACCAGTTTTATTATGAATGACGAATGATCAATTGTTGAAATATAATATTTTTTTAAATTAAATTTTAAAATAAATGTGACATTTTATAAATATTAATCAATAATAATCTATAGATTGTATGTTATAAATATTATAATTTAATTTAATTCTACATTAATTAACATTTAAACTGTTGAATTGCTACGCCCATACAGGATGTCAAATGATCTGAAAATATATTGTAACAACAATGTTTTGTGACATGCAATAAATAAATTATTACTATTAATAGGTATTATTATAAATCATGATTTTTTTTCAATACTAAATGAACAATCAATTGAAAATTGCTACACTCATTACAAAGTATTAAAATGTGACTTCAGGGACAATATTACATTGATTATCTCACTCGCTCTGTTTATTTTCAAAGAACTATCAAGTTCATTGTTTATTTTCTGAACAATATCAACATATTATTTTACAATATGTCTGCTAGAATATATAAAAGTTGAGCTGAAAAACAAAAATTACAGATAGATTGGAAAAAACAAAGAAATTAATGTGCAAAAATGAAACTGAAGTGAAACTTTTAAAATTAGAACATAAAAATCAGAATGAAATAGCTACCAATCCATCAAAAAGCATGAAAGAAAATTTCAATCATTTATTAATTTTTAAATTTATACTTACTTTACTTTCGCGTAATATCTAATATTTTTGCCAATTTTTCGCCACAAAATCATAAAAGTTTTTACATGAAAAATCGATGTTTGTTATAGTATGTGCCAAATCAATTGAGAAAAACGGACAATGATCTCAGATATGAGCTGAGTTTCAAAAGGCGTAGCTTACAAAATTTAATTTAGATGCGATAACAATATTTAAATATTGATATTATTCACACTTCTAGGTCGAACATGTTTTGTTTTTTTTTTGTTTCTTAAATAATATTGTCTGTGGTTCCTATAAACATCGTAAAATCTTACGGTACATAGCGAAAAATGTGTTATATTTTATATTTCAATTTATGGTAAGTTTGTAATGCAGCAATTCATTTAATAACAGTTTCATATTTAAAAAAATATTAGAAGCAATATAATCACCATATAGAGCTTTTGCAAATTCAACCCTTTAAAATAAACAAAATGCGCGTTACGTCAGTTCATTCTAAAAGAAACGTGACAATGGCTGCTATTGTCACGTTTCTTCAGAGATGTGTCAACTTTTTTGGGTCGATGATTGCACTGAATAAAAATAAAGTTCTTATATAATATTGAAAATAAAATTTTATCTTTTGAATAAGAACGTACTTATTTGGTGTCATTATCACTCGAATCTTTATGTGTTATAAATTAATGCTTTTTGTTGTTAAATGAATAAAGTACTTCATAACAATAGATGATTTTTCTTTTACAGCGATCTTTTACATAACTTTTAATAATAGTTAATAAATATATATTATATCAATCATTATAAAAAAATATAAAAAAATCATTATAAATAAAGTACTACACATAAAATGTACTTATATATTGAAGGTTTGTAACCCCTGGTTAAACGACCGAAAGGTTATTGCACATTTTTCTCCTTTTGTACTTGTAGCTCCGCTTTTAATAAAGAAACACTAATTCGGTTTCTTTCCTTGCTTTCCATGCTTGTTCCATCATGGTGAATACACGCTTGCATGAAGCATTAGAGACAGGAATTAAAAAAGCAAAATGTGACCCATGTCTTTCAATTCAGGACAGGGAAAACACTAGAGTAGGGCAGACAAGACTATTTGGAGTTGGGCATGCTGTTTCGGGTTTAGAACAGATTCGACCAATTTTATCTAAGTCAGGGTGCCCTAAACTCTGCTGTGATAGTGGTAAATGAAATAATGTAATGTGAATTGTTATAATTTTTTCTAAAAAACCTCATGACTCTTGAATGCGACTCATTTTGTTGTATATGAGTCCCATCTTCAGCCTCAAATGGATTGTCTGGGTCCGAGTGATTAACGTGATTATGGGTGTAGCCGTGTTAAAAAAAACAAATTGACATATTTGCGTTTCATTGTAAACAATTTTTAGTGAAGTTTATTTTTATCGTAATTAATTCAAAACGTATGTCCAACATTTAAAAAACACAGGGGTTGGATTTAGAATCATTTGGCAGGAATTTGGGGGAGTAAGGTGTTTTATTTGGTAGATGTTTGGTCCCCGATTATAATAATACCACACATATTAAAAGGTAATGCACCATTATCGAAAAAATAAATAAAAACTATTATAACCTTAAATACGTAAAGTATGAAAAGTAATACATTTTTTATTATTAACTGAATTTACGGCTCTGGGTTCTAGACTTTCTGAGAAAAAATTATACGATATTACAGTGAAAGATGGATAGCATACAGAATTTTGTGTCTGTGGCGGGAGCAAAGGCAACCTGACTATAGATATCTGATCTGATCAAATCTGTACTAAAATTAAATTAGCACGCCCCGAATCCACGTAGACTTGTCTGCCCTACTCCTAGTGTTTATGTAAAGCCGTAGGTGCGGAGGGAGAGCAGCCCCGCCCGTTGTAGCAAATCGCAGGCACCTGTGCGAGCCGTAGTATGGTTATTATTGTATTATATATTGTGTTTATAATTTAAAGTAATTATAAAAGCTAATATTTTGGTGTTTTGTTGAGTGCAAGAGCGAGCAAAATGAGCAGGACTTAGGGCACCCCGACTCGGACAGGTTAGGTTAGAAGGGGATGGCGGGGTCGAGTGAGCGAGCGAATAGACCTTGCCATTCCCTTCGTGGTTATTTGTTTGTAAACCACTCAGAAGTAGGAGCCCTGCAGCAGAGCCTTTGCAGGGCTCTGTCGACCAGCCTTCCCTCAACTGCGCTACATGGTGCTTCACTCCTCCAACTCTCTCCCCCCATAAATCAGGATTATAGTCAAAAACATTACAAAAACATAACCTCAAAATTAGATATTTAAAAACTATAAAAAAAAAACTAAGCACATCCGGCAGGATGTGGGGGGAGGGGCGACTCCAACTCCCCCGCCTCCCTCTCCACCACCTCCCACCCCCTTAATTCATTTTGAGATATGATTTTGAGGTTAGTTCTATGGGATACTCTTTTTGATTTTTCTCAAGAACGGTGCATTACCTTTTAATGAGAGTGGTATTATTATAATCTGGGACCAAACCTCTACCAAATAAAACAACTTACTGCCCCAAATTCCTGCCAAACGATTCTAAATTTCAACCAAACACTGTAATAGGTTGAAGCTTAACCCTAACAAGCCTCCTAAATTAAAAACATTAAAATCAAGTACCGGACGTCTACAGCCAATCCAAGGATATTAAAAAGGGGGTCGACGTTTAATATTACATACATACATAAACACTCACCCCTGTCACCCAGAGGGGTAGGCAGAGACTACGGACTTCCATTTGGCACGATCCTGACATACCTCTTTCGCCTCCTTTACATCCATATATCTACGCATACATGCTCATCGGTTAAGGGTACTTCTAACGTGGCCCCTTTTCAAAATATCGCCAATTTGGTTCCTTCCCGACTCGGCCGTTCACATCTGACATATAAATTTGCTTTGTCACTCTTTCCTCACTCATTCTTTCTACATGACCAAACCACCGAAGCATTCCTTTCTTAATCCTGGTCACAACATCATCTTGCATACCACATTTATCTCTTATCACGCAATTTCTCACCCTGTCATTCAGATTCAACCCTAGAATACTCCTTAAAGACCGCATTTCTACAGCATTTATTCTACTTTCGTGCTTCTTCTGCCACACCCAGCTTTCACTACCATACATTAAAGTAGGGACCAACACAGCATTGTGAATTGCCATACGTGCCTTTTTTGACACATTTTGACTCTTCACAATAGAGTGCAGGGCCCCATTTACTCTATTTCCCGCATTCACTCGTCGTTCTATATCCCTATCATATCTACCATCCCTGCTAAATACACATCCCAAATACACAAACTCATCCACTTGCTCAATTAACTCTCCTTCTATTCTTATTTCACAGTTTTGCTTTCTTCTCTTTCAAAAACCATCACTTTCGTCTTACTTGCGTTCACTTTCATTCCCCTTTCTTTTAATTGCCAGTTCATTAATGTAACCATCATTTGCAACTCAGCCGCCGATGACGCAAATATGACTTGATCATCGGCATACAAAAGGCATTTGACGGTTAACTCGCCCATTCTTAACCCACATTCTTCGTCTTTCAAAGTTTGCAAACACCTGTCCATAAATAGGTTGAACAGCCAAGGGGAAGCTACACAGCCCTGTCTGACACCTTTTTGGATGCCAAACCAGTCCGAGTAGACCCCATTGATCCTGACAAAAGCACTAGAGTCCCTATAAAGAGACCTTAATGCCTGTATCAAACCAGTGCTCAACCCATATGAGTTCAGTGTTTGCCATAACAAATTCCTGTCCACTCTGTCATAAGTCTTTTCCAAGTCCATGAACGCACAAAAAACTTTCTGGTTTTTGGCCAAAAACTTCTCCGCAATCATGAGCATGGAAAAGACTTGATCTGTACACCCCATTCCCTTTCTAAAACCCACTTGAACATCCCAAATTTTTCCATCAGTTTCTTTCATAACTCTTTCAATTAACACCTTAGCATACAGTTTACCCACAATACTAAGCAAGCTGATACCACGGTAGTTTTTGCAGTCCTGCTGTGACCCTTTTCCTTTATATATTGGTACTATAACTGCTTTACACCAGTCATCCGGTACCCATTTAAATTCCCAACATAAATTAAACAAGGTGTACAGCAGGCCTGCCACCACTTCCTCTCCAGCTCTTCTTCTCCTAGCATCTCGAGTGATACTCTATCATATCCAGTTGCCTTACCTGCTTTCATGCTTTTCATTGCTTTCATTATTTCATCTACACTTATCTCCACGTTTAATATTCATTTCGTAAATCTCAACAATTGATCTATGTATAACTCTACAGAAAAAAAAACAATTACTTACGAGTCTTCGTTTAAATACGTAAAATTTACCAGAAAGTATCTAGCCGGCATCACAATATTTTGAGGTTGTAAACCAGGTCCACTTATCTTTATTTCATTTGAGTCAGATAATTTTATAGAAATTAAAATCATATAAACGACAAAACTATTCCAATTATAAGTCTCCATTTTATTGTTCTTAACTTAAATAAAAACTATTAACGTAGTATGTATGTATTAAAATTTATAATCTGATGAAAAAAAAATATTATGATTATTTTATGTTTTTTTTTATTAACCGGCTTTACGGCTCTGGGTTCTAGCTCTTCCGAGCTCATCATTTTTTTCATTCATTTTATATTCTTCACAATATGCTGATGCGTCACATTGCGAAGCCCTTGGGAGATTTTGATGACAGCTCAACCTAGTGGACACCGGACAGTTCGTGAACGTTAGAGAACAGGAGAACGATCACTACGTACTAAAGCATAGCCCGCCTGTCCTTGAAAATTTTAGAATTTATAGCGGCGCTGACGTCGGTGAGTAGTGACTGCGTAGTTAGCTGTTTTGTTTTGGTTTCAAGTAGATGAAGTTAGTTGAATAATTTACACATTCTCTCCGCGCTATTGTTGAGAAAATTTTCTTGCTCCGTAATTTTGTAATTTTTAACAAAAAGAAACATTAAAAAAATGGAGAAATATTTTATTGTGCGTGGATGTGCAAGTGGTTTAGCATCTGATCGAAAAAATAGACTGAAAATGACTTTTATTGAGCGAACTTAGCGATCGCAGCGCCTCACTATTGGTGTCCATATTTCTGGGACACTATTTTCTACGGCGATCGTTCTCCTGTTCTCTAACCTTCATGGGACAGTTGATGACGGACTTCAAGGAAAAAAGGACAAAGTGGTGCTAAGGGACTCTCCTATAGTTATTTTATTTAGAATAATAAACAAGGATTACAATAATTTATCAAGAAATATATATAATCTAAATCGTTATATAACTTAATATATAAAAGCTTGTATTACCTACTTACTTTGTATTAAGAGAAAAATAAAAGACTGTAGATAGTAGTCAATTTATTGCCATAAACATATTAATTCTGTAGTCTGTGTAATATATATAAGCGATGCTTATACATTGCTAAACCTGCGCCCTCCTTTCTGCCAAGGAGGGTCGCGTTCGTATACGGCTTAGAGATCTCTAGTCAGATCGTTAAGCCAATTCCTAAAAGGCGGTGTTTAGTGGGTAAAATTCTCCACATAACCACGCAGCCGGCTGCGTGGTATGCTATGAGCATTCACCGCCTCCCTCCCCCGCTTTCCGGAGGGTTGCACATATTTGCTTCGGGCGCAAAAAAAAAATGCTAAACAAATTTGTCTTGTGTAGCTTTTGACGCATGGTGGCTTTGTGTCCAGTAAATTTTAATGTTTTACTTTTTCCATAAGCCCTTAATCTTAAATTTAAAAAAAAATTGTCGCTATAAATTCAATAATTTCTGTCTCACGTCTTTTTTACATACAATTTATAGAGAGCATTGGATGAGGTGGAATGAATATATCATTTAATTACGGAAAGAAATATTTTTGTACTATATAAATGTTTAAATTTGTATCAGAATTTTAATAACAAATCCTTATTAAAAACAACGAGTGAACGCAGGAAATAAAGTAAATGGGCCTCTAAACTCTATTGTGGAAACAGAATGTGTCAAAAAAGGCACGTATGGCAATTCAATTTAACACGTGTTTAGTGAAGGCAGAAAAAGTACGAGAGAAGATTAAAAGCAGTAGAAATGCGGTCATTGTGTGCGGTCAATGCGGTAAGAAATTGTGTAATAAAAGTGTGGTTTGCAAGATGGATGTCACCTGTAAAAGATAGAGAAGAAGAGCCCTTAAGTAATATTGAACATATACACCCTCCTCTAGACATCACTATTTCACTTTCGACGGAAAAATGTCTTCCTTAAAGTTTAACCACAACAGCCAATGTTTGACAAGCCCGACTTTAGATTACAAAACTTTATTAAATAAGCTAGAAAGAGTGGATTGCAATAAAGGTGCTGATCTGAGGATATTCCGCCAATTTTCATAGCGTCTTGTGCATCGGTTTTGGTTACACCTCTATTGATTATATACAACAAATCATTAGCAACAGGAGTTTTCCCATCGAAGTGGAAAATTGCAAAGGTAGTTCCCATTTACAAGTCAGAGGATAAGAGCATAATATCTAATTATAGACCAATTTCAATTTTGCCAATATTCGGTAGAATATTTTAATCTCTAGTTAGTTAACTACTGCAGACTCACTTAAAACTTTACCTCAGTAGTAATCAACATGGTTTTGTTCGATCAAGTTCAACTTGCACAAACCTTGTAACTTTTACAGAGTCTTTGGTAAAAGCAATAGATTCAGGTAGGCAATATGATGTAATATACACAGATTTAAGTATAGCTTTTGATAGAGTTCCACATAAAGTCCTAAACTACAAATTAGCCGTTTATGGGATCGCCGGATCATTGTTGGAATGGGTAAAGTCATACTTAAAAGAACGATCTTTTTATGTGGTCATAAATGGATTTCAATCTGATAATCGTATAATTTCCTCTGGTGTGTCACAGGGCTCCAATTTAGGACCAATACTATTTAACCTGTTTATAAATGAAATTTCTAGTTGCTTTAAATTTTCGGAACCCTACATGTATGCGGATGATTTAAAGTTTGGAAGAATAATCGAATCTTTAGAAGACTCAGTATTTTTACAGACAGATTTAAATAGACTTGTAAATCTTAACGGCTTGAATCCTAATTATTCTAAATGTTCACATGTTAAATTTACAAGAAATACTAAATTGATCAATAACCATTACTTCATAGGGAATAACAAAATACAAGAAGTAGAAGTGATAAGGGATCTTGGTGTACGTTTTGATAAAAAAAACTAACTTTTGTACCTCATATTGATAGTATTATAAATAGATCTTCCAAAATGTTAGGGTTTGTCATAAGAAATGGTAGGTCATTTAAAAACCCTAAAACAAAAAAAATATTGTACAATAGCCTTGTAAGGGGTATAATGGAGTACTGCAGTATTGTCTGGCGTCCACACTATTCTATACATTCGTTGCGATTGGAGAGAGTTCAAAAACGCTTTATGTGGCATCTTACATATTCTGTTGGAAAAGCACTAAAAATATCATCCTATGCAGATAGATAGACTTAAATATTTTAATATGCTACCCTTATCGATACGTCTAAAATTAATAGATATTATGTTTTTATACAAGGTGCTTAGAAATGAAGTAGATTGTCCACAGCTTCTCGCCCAATTTAAATTTCGACCTCCAATAAGAATTCCACACAGATCAATTCCACTTCTTTACCCACCACGTCGTAGAATTGTTCTCGGTGCGCATTCGCCAGTCGCAAGGATTTGTAAAGTCTTTAATGAATGTAGTGAGGTCGTTGATGTTAATTTTGATTCCATATGTCAGTTTTATAAGAATTTATGTAAGTACTTCAAACATTGTGAAAGCACAGATCGTGTACCAAATTATTAATAATTAATGTAAAATACGCATCACACACACACACACACACACACACACACACACACACACACACACACACACACACACACACACACACACACACACACACACACACACACACACACACACGCACGCACGCACACGCACACACACACACACACACACACACACACACACGCACACGCACGTGCACGCGCACACGTTCATACAATTCAAATTATTTAAAATAAGAATTTCTTAGATAAATAGTACTGAAATGGAAATGTTGTGTTACCTTTATGTGATTGTAGATTTAGAAATAATGAAACCGTAAATTTTAATTAACGATGTAATAATGTATCAATTGTTGGTAATCCTAATAAAGAGAAAAAAAAGATATGCTTCGGTGGTTTGGTCATGTACAGAAGTGAATGCGTAACGAGTGACATAGCAAAAAAATTTATGTTGCAGAAGTGAACGGTAGAGTCTACCCCTATGGGAAAACTTTCCGCCGCTTAACTATTTAAACTATTTCTTCTACCAAACACCTACTTTAAAACAAATTAAAAATAAAGGCTGTAACTTTTTTGTTAACATTACTTCATTTCGTTCATAAAATCATAGATTTATTATACTATTTATATCGATGCATAAAATATATTCTCTACGAAGGGTCATTTTTTTATTAAGTGCAGCTTTGCAGGTTTAGGGAAAGAGACCAGTATCACTGCGACCTAGAAGATCTATTGTGATCACTGCTATGGCTATAGTTCACGGCTAAGCCCTATGTCTTCAATGAATAGAAGGAGTTGCTTAGCCGTGAGCAATTTCACTTCTTCTGGGCGGAGTACATAGTTTCCCAGATGAGTGTTACGTTTGCGCATTAAGGGTCCGCAATCAGTTAGGATGTGTAGAGGCGTTTCTTCCGTTATGGAACAGAACCGACACATCCTGGAGTTGCTTAGCCCCAGGATGGACATGTGCTTTTTAAGACAACAGTGTCCAGTTAGGGCTCTTGCCAGAATGCGCAATTTATTTTTACTTAATCCCAGGGCTTCTGAAGCGAATTTACGGTCAAAAGCCCGGATTAAGGTTTTAGAATGTTTTAAGCCTGGTGTGTCAGACCAGATCTTAAGTGATTTATTGTGATAAAGAAATTCAAGGGTCAATCGGGCTAGGCTTCTTGAGATTCCACAAAATGGCTCAGGTCCAAATTGTGTGCACTTTGAGCCCTCCCGTGCAAGTTTGTCGACAAATTCGTTGCCTACAATACCCCCATGATCCGGAACCCATCTTAAAACGACCCTGTTGTTACATCCCAGGGCTTTTAAACGGTTCATGCAGTCTCCAGTTTGACCTCAGCGCTAGCAGTGCTGCTTGACTATCAGAGTTTATGTAGATTATATGGTTGACGTAGTGTTTTTGCAGATTGATTTCCGCACACCGAAGTATGGCGATAATTTCTGCCTGGTAGATAGAGGTGTATCTACCCAAATTCATGCTTAGTTTGAATTTGGGGCGTTCCCCGTAAATTCCAAAGCCTACGTCGAGGCCCATTTTAGACCCATCGGTATACCATATGAGGCTACCGACCTCACAGATAACCTGGCCATTCAGCCAGTCTTCTCTGAAGGGTAATTCCACTATATACTTTTTA